GAATGGGACTTCAATTTTTAATCGGCATGAGTAACGCAATAGTTGCCTTTAGAGGAGCAGGAACTGCTTACCGTTCTGAATCACCTGGATTCATCCCTGGTTTTTTTATGGGGTTCGTGTTCGTCAATCTTAAGTCTTCTGTGTAGTGTTTTGTGTACTATGGTTTGTCTTTTGGGTATTGTATTGTCCTTTTTTCCTGTTGATCCCAAAATAATTAGGCTTCTTCTCATTCCCTATATTTTCCATCTGTTTAAGTTTCATTCCAATCAAGCAAGGGAAACCAAAGTTACCATCCAAGAAACACATTTTCCAAAAATATTCTATTCTTAGAAACAGTGACCTTGACCTTTGATCTCAAAATCAATAAAATTTCCCCCTTTTTACATTTCTTCAATCTGTATAATTTTCATTTCAATCAAATAAGGGAAACTCATTGACAAGTTACCACCTTTTATTTCAATCAAGCAAGGGATACACAAGTTATCATCTGCAATGATTTGTTTCAGATACAAGGACAGAGGTACTGACAAAACAATTTCTATATGTTTTCCAGAAATTTTTCAGGAGCATAAAAATGTAGGCAATAATGGATAGATCTTTCAGCCATGAACTAGTTTCTGCATCTTCTTTTTGGCAATTGTATTGTCTGATTGCTACCTTGATATCTTCTCTTTGAACTTAATTGTAGGTAAGACAGATAAATTCTTATGCCATGAACTTAAAAGTTTCTGCATATTGTGTAATTTTTAATAAACACATTTTTTCTTGACAAGTATTTGTTAATTCACATACACATCAATCTGTAAATTGAATATCTGAGTATATATTATTAATAAATAGCTTTGACATGAGCATGGATAAGATCTGAAGAATGATCAGCTCCCTGCACTAGTTATGTTGTACATACTCTCAAACAAAGGAAGAGAAGACAGATGTAGCTAACTAGACAGTGACTATCAAAGATTGTACTTTGTGCAATCTTTATCCCTAAAACTACAAAATGTATAGATACACATGTTATATATATAACCTAGGATAATTCAGACCAAATTTAGTTGATATGGGTAAAGAGGTTCAGAGGAGATTTTTAAAAATGTTTATGAGGACTGAAGACAACTTAGGACATAAAGTGATAGGAATAGATCACCTGACTGAGCGAGGTGAGCTAAACATTATAATTGATCCTTATCTTTTTTTTGTTGTTCAGAACATAAAGCTTTAGGTATCTGTTGTGACAACAAACTAAACAGTGTCTGATATTGCTAGGTCATAGTTTCTATTTTCTGTGTTCAGATTAATTGTATTAGGTTTATTTTTATCATCATTGTGAAAAAGGCTCTTGGTGAAAAAAATAAATGTAGATAGTGTCCACATGTGGACACAGATGATGCCCCCGCTTGCATATCATATAGTTATAAAGGGACATAACTGAAGAACGGTAAAAGTGACGCTACCCAAATTTGAACTTGATCTGAGTTTTGTGGTAAAAAGCATTGTGTGTAAGTCTCATAACATTTGGTTGTGTAAGTCTCATAACATTTGGTTGAGGCTAACTTAAGTAGAGAACAGAAACTAAAATTTCAGCAATTTTTCTATTTGTAAACATGCATAACTCTAGAACGGTTGTGTATAAGTTTTATAACATTTGGTTGAGACAAACTAAAGTTAGAGAACGGAAACGAAAAATTCAGCAATTTTTATGTTTATAAAGGAACATAACTCAAGAATGGTAAAAATGACCCCACCAAATTTCGTACTTAATCTATATTATGTAGTAATAAGCATTGTGTATAAGTTTCATTACATTTGGTTGAGGCAAACTAAAGTTAGAAAACAGAAACAAAAAATTTGTTCTTGATCTTAGTTTTGTGGTAACGAATATTGTGTATAGGTTTCATAATGTTTGGTTGGGGCAAACTTAAGTTACAGAATGGAAACTAAAAATTTTGCAATCATTCGATTTATACAGGGGCATAACTCAACAAGAAATGATTGTAACAGGATGCTGTTACGAAGTCTCCCAAACGAAGCTCCCATAATTCGTAATTCCCAGGGTCGCCTGACATTGGGCAACGTCCAGTGAAAATTGGTTTGGTCCAGTAAAGTTATATGCATTAGTGATGCCTGGGGACTAACCCTGTATATCATTCAAATCATCTTGGCATGACAAACCAGAATATATATGGTTTAGGGGTGGGGATCTCGACCATTTACAAGATACTAGAACATTGGGGGTGGGGGGAACCCCTGGGGACTGACCCTATACTTCATTCAAATGTTCGTTACATGACGAACAGGAATATATATGGTTTAGGGGTGGGGATCTCAACCATTTAAAAGATATTAGAACGTTGTGGGTGGGGGGAACCCCTGGGGACTGACCGTATACGTCATTCAAATGTTCGAGACATGACAAATAGGAATATATATGGTTTAGGGGTGGGGATCTCAACCATTTACAAGATATTAGAACTTTCTCAAATGGCAGGGGGTCAGGATGACCCCTTGGGACTAACCCTGTATATCATCTAAACCATCTTAGGATGACAAACCAGAATATATATGGTTTAGGGGTGGGGATCTTGACCACTTACAAGATATTAGAACTTTTTTAAAAGGCATGGGGTGGGGGTGACCCCTGGGGACTAACCCTGTATTTCATTTGATGTGCTTTATCATGACAAACCAGAATATATATGGTTTAGGGGTGGGGATCTCGACCATTTACAAGATATTAGAACTTTCTCAAATGGCAGGGGGTCGTGATGACCCCTGGGGACTAACCCCGTATATCATTCAAACCATCTTGGCATGACAAACCAGAATATATATGGTTTAGGGGTGGGGATCTCGACCATTTACAAGATATTAGAAATTTCTCAAATGGCAGGGGGTCGGGATGACCCCTGGGGACTAACCCTGTATATCATTCAAACCATCTTAGCATGACAAATCAGAATATATATGGTTTAGGGGTGGGGATCTTGACCACTTACAAGATATTAGAACTTTTTTAAATGGCATGGGGTGGGGGTGACCCCTGGGGACTAACCCTGTATTTCATTTGATGTGCTTTATCATGACAAACCAGAATATATATGGTTTAGGGGTGGGGATCTCGACCATTTACATGATATTAGAACTTTCTCAAATGGCAGGGGGTCGGGATGACCCCTGGGGACTAACCCCCTATATCATTCAAACCATCTTGGCATGACAAACCAGAATATATATGGTTTAGGGGTGGGGATCTCGACCATTTACAAGATATTAGAACTTTCTCAAATAGCAGGGGGTCGGGATGACCCCTGGGGACTAACCCTGTATATCATTCAAACCATCTTAGCATGACAAACCAGAATATATATGGTTTAGGGGTGGGGATCTTGACCACTTACAAGGTATTAGAACTTTCTTAAATGGCAGGGGGTGGGGGTGACCCCTGGGGACTAACCCTGTATTTCGTTTAATGGGCTTTATCATTTAGAACATTTTCAATTAAAAAGATTGTGTTTATCACAAACGGTTTTCAGTTTATAATCATTTGAAAATTTTAAAAAATAAAATCCCATAGGGTTCTATAGTAAAACCCTCTTTTCTTTTTGCCCCTCAAAGTACCCCTTTATAAACCCCATTGCACAAACAAAACCCTGATTGCACAACTAGACATGTTAGTCTAACATATTGTGAAACCCTAAGTTAATCTGACAAGCGGTTTTGGAGAACGGGTGCGGACAAGTTCAAATTTAAAAGCGGCGGAAGAGGAAGAAGAAGAAGAAGAATAATAATAATAATAAGAACTGAGCAAAAACAATCGGAAGAGGAAGAAGAGGAAGAAGAAGAAGAAGAAGAAGAATAATGATAATAATAAGAACTGAGCAAAAACAATAAGTCTTCCCAAACTTCGTTTGGGAGACTTAATAATGGTTAAAGTGATACTACCCAAATTCAACTTGATCTGTGTTTTATCAGTGGAAGTCAAAATTTAACATTGCATTGTATACAGCATTGATTGTAGTTGATTGAACTATAATCATGGACAAAGGAAGATAACTCCAATTTTATAAATTACTTGATATTTAGAAGAAAATAAAAATTTTGCAATTGTTCCATTTATAAAGGGGCATAACTCTAGAACGATTAAAGTAACGCCACCAAAATTCAAACTTGATCTGTTTTTTGTGGTAATAAGTATTGTGTATAAGTTTCATAACATTTGGTTGAGGCAAACTTAAGTAAGAGAACGGAAACTAAAAATTTTGCAATTTTTCCATTTATAAAGGGGCATAACTCTAGAAAGATTAAAGTGACGCCACCAAAATTCAAACTTGATCTGTGTTTTGTGGTAATAAGCATTGTGTATAAGTTTCATAACATTTGGTTGAGGCAATCTTAAGTTAGAGAACGGAAACTAAAAATTTTGCAATTTTTCCATTTGTAAAGGGGCATAACTCTAGAACGGTTAAAGTCACGCCACCAAAATTCAAACTTGATCTGTTTTTTGTGGTAATAAGCATTGTGTATAAGTTTGATAACATTTGGTTGAGGCAAACTCAAGTTAGAGAACGGAACCAATTTTGGGACGTACGTACGTACGTACAGACAGACAAGGGTAAAACTTAATGCCCCCACCGCTACGGCGGGGGCATAAAAAAAGAATGTGTTCATGTAAAACAGATGACCCTGCTTGTAAATATATGGCAAATTAAGCAACTTTTCTATTTATAAAGGGGCATAACTTGAGAATGATGAACAGGGCACCACCCAGATCTCTGTTCGGTAGTAATAAGCATTGTGTATAAGTTTCAATAGAGGCAAAGTTAAGTTAGAGAAAGAAAACCAATTTTGGGAAAACCAGACGTACAGTCATACCAGTACAAGGGTAAAACATTATGCTCCCGTCACCTAGTGGCAGGGGCATAAAAATAGTTTTGAAATTACTATAACATTTACCAGGGCCTTGTTCATTTAAACATATAAGAAAAACATAAGCAACTTGATTTACGCTAGTGTACCTCTTTATATAAACATCAATGTTCTTTAATTTATTTAAAAATATACTAAAACCACACTATATATATTATCCATTTGGCAAAATACATGCTTTGATTATCAAAGTATCATTCCTAACATATGTAGAATTATCCAGAATTCCAATCGGCAAAAATTCCATATACCCAAATCCTTTATGATTGCGAGGTGTATTTGGTCTTTGAAATGCAGCTAAATTTGGTTTCGAGATTAAAGTTTCAACAACATGATGCCGTAATTCACATACAGGATTTTGATCAATAACGGTTAATATTATTCTGCCATTAAAAGGCCAGTCTAAAATGTCGTCATAATCTCCCTGCATAAAATGAATAAATATAGAAAGATGAGTTCCTCGCGCAGAATCTACACCATTTAAATTGGCTCTTATACATAACTTATACCCATAGAAATGAGAATAGAATGGTGGACTGTGAATTGCTGTTGTATCACCAATTTCAGCCTCTCGTCTGTATTTGCGGTAATTTCTTATTTTCCAAACATAAGTTCCATTGCACGTCCTTCCTTCAAATTCATTAATAGTACTTTCTAACATTTTAAGCCGTTTATTTAAATCCTTGACTATTTTTTCATGATTTTCATTTCTACCACGAATTTCATCTATTTGATGTTCGTGTCTAGCTAAACTTTCATCCTGTGTAACGTTCTGATCTTTCAGAGACTTTAATTCATATCCTTGCTGAACAGATACATAAGCTCCACCTTCTACATCCTTATTGGATTGCTGTGAAGAGTAACTTAAACTTGGAGCAACTTGTGTTTGCTCACTTATATTCCTCTCTATCAGACCATGACTATGGCTACCAGCAACTGGTTCTGGGAAACCTTCAATAGAGGAGACATTAGAATCAGGTGAATAAGGAACAGGAGTAGAGTTCAATGATAAGACATTCATTCCTTGCTGCTGAACACCTATACGTAAAGTTTCTAGTAAGTTTGTGATTGATTGTTCCGATGACGTGACTGGCAAACTGTGAGATTGAGGGACTGCAGGAAAATGTTGTAATGCTCCAGGGGCTATGTTTTGTACAGCTGAGGTCAGCTGCATTAGAATGTTGAACATCAAGTTCATATGCTGTTGTATGGATTCTTGTAAATGTTGTGACATTTCACATCTCTCCAGCTAAAACAGAAGAAAATAACTTTGAATATGCATTGTTTGATTATACTGGTAGTCAATTTTGTTCCTTAATATAGTAACTGGAAGTCAAAATTGGAAAATAAATCAAAACAAGGGCTTTCAAATGACAGCAAAACCGTGTTTTTATTACATTTATTAGTGTCAATTTTAAAGCAATAAAGGGCCACAACTCCTGAACTGCAAACAAGTAAAAATGGTCAATATTAAACATGATCTTTATTTGGTAATCAGTAACACCATATCAAAATTTTAGTAGAATTTGTTTGTCACTGACAAGCTTACGTTATTGCACAAAACAACATATAGTGCTATTTTCCAACCAATCAAGGACCAAAACTCTTGAACGGCAGGAGTGAAAATAATCAATATCGACCTTAACCTCCATTTTGTCATCAGTAACAACATATCAAAATTTCAAAAGCCTTGGTTGAATAGTTCATAACATGTTGCAAGGAAAAAAGTGGAGACACCCGAAACCAAGACCTTCCCTTCAGCCCAAAATCAAAAACTGAATTTTGGCCGAAAAAAAAACAATTAATAAAAATGTCAGCTTGATTGCTATTATTAAAAATTTAGACAATAAATTATGTCAGCTTTTGAATGATTTTAAGTGGCTGGTTACATATTTGGCTATCTTCTTATAGCTGCAATATGTAGTTTCTTCTTATGATTGTTTCATTCTTACAACATATGCACTAATTAGGTTTAGGAGAAGGTTTGTGTACATGTAATTTAATCCTGTTTTAACCCCACCACATTTTGTGCCTGTACATAGTCAGGCTATTTTGACCATATGTTGTTTGTTGATTGTTTGTCATTGTTTGTGCATCTTTTTTCCCAGGAGTCTGGTGTTAATAGTTGGTATGGTCTGTTATACTGCCCATTATTTTTGGTAATACCTGTTATTTCTTTTATTTTTAATTATTATGAAATATTCAAAATAAAAATAAGAAGATGTGGTGTGATTGCCAATGAGACAAAAGTAAAATAACAAAAATACCGAACCCCAAGGAAAATTCAAAACGGAAAGTCCCTTATCAAATGGCAAAATCAAAAACTCAAACACATCAAACGAATGGAAAACAACTGTCATATTCCTGAACTCTTCACCAGAGACCAAGTGACTTAGAAATTAATTACTATAGGTCACCACACCTGCCCTTCAACAAAATGCTGGTTTTATAAAATATTATAGACCAGCTGCTATTTTCTATGAATGCTACTTTTGCACTGCATTAATTTTTTTCATATTATTTTATCTACATGTCCTGAAATCCATTTATGTATTACATTTTTGTTTCCTGGTGTTAACTGGTAAACAAATTTAGGTTTTTTTCATTGGTGGATTTGACAATTACAGTTCAAGAGTTACAATCCTGTGTTATTCATGTTATATTTAACTTGGGGTTTTTCAGGTCTTACCATGTAACCATACCATATTACCAGTAAGTAATTTTTTACATAAGGTCATCAACCATAAAATAAAGGTTAAGTTTAATTTAATGATATATCTGATATCTAGTTTTCAAGAATTAATTAAGAATGAAAAATTTTGTCATGCATTTTTTTTTAGTTGTAATCTCTGTCCTGCTTTTTTATTTTTCACTATATTTGGTCCTGCCTTTTTTTTTATTAGTTTATCCTGACTTTTTTTTACATAAATTGTCATCCTGCCTTTTTTTTTTTTGCCAAGTTGCTCATCCTTGTTTTTTTTTTACTCAAAACTCCTGTCCTGCCCTTTTTTTTTTAAATTTCATCCTAGCCCCCATAAAAATCAAATGGTAGCTCCCTAAGCTACTTTGTTCTCCTGCAATACATTGTGTATGTTCTGAATACAGCCCCCTCCCTTTTTTAAAAATATGTGTTATATACAATTCTGCTTAAAGACCATCAACATTTTAAAAAAAAACATTTTCCTCATGCATTGTAACTGAAATATTTTCAACATGTAAATACAAAATGTTTTCAAACTTTTCATAAAAACTTGCATTGAACATTAAAAGTAAGTGTAAACACACGATAAAAATAGCTAACTTCCACTGACCCTTTGTCTAAAAATTCATTTCCATCAGAGAGTGTCCTCAAAAAAACAAATACAAACATTTTGAAAATAAAAAATGCAAACTGTTTCCCTGTATACTACCACTGAAAAAATGGGATATGAGTTAGCATGACAGCTGCATATTAATAATTAAGAATAAAAACACTGCTTACCATCCCGATACATGTTTTAACAGCATTGCAATATGATGCCTTAACGTACACATGCACATGTAAGAATGAATTTTAATGTTATGATTTCATTTCACTCAAGATCAATATCAAGTTTAAAGTTTAAAAGTTTAAAAATGCAAAATAAAAGTCAACTTACAGCTGAAATTGTGTTGTATTATACCATAATAAACAATACTAATTAGAATTTGATAGAGCAGTAATGTTAATCCATTCAATATTCTATTAACTTCCTGAATCAAAGTGATTGGACCTTACAACAAACAATAAACATATTAAAGAGCTATTTATGTCATTTCCAAAGGTGTTTTAAAAGTTAAGAGATCATTGTTTCAAGACCATGAGATTTTACAAAGTAAGATACTTTTTTTTATTTCAAATGAAAAACTTAATGGTATGAATGTAAAGTGCCATACTACACCTACTGATCAATGTCACACAACTATCAATTTTGCACTGTGGCCTCAACCTTTTCTCTAGTAGTGTCAACATTTTACTGGAATATCTGTGATGTCAATTAGTAAGAAGTTGTATCAACATGACCATTAAATAACTGTCTATAATTATAAGACCTCTAACTGTATATAAGTTTTTGTACACATTGTGACTTGGATGGAGAGTTGTCTCATTGACACTCATACCACATCTTCTTATTTCAAATTATTACAAACTAAAGTTATTTTAGTTTTCCTCAATGGACATATATGTTTGATTTACATATTCAAATAATAAAATTAGCAAAGCCACACCCATAGACTGATAGCTATTTGGATTTTAGAAGGAAAAAGATACAGGTTTAATTAACTAAATGATCTTAATTTGTTTTTCTTGACACCAGTTGATACAACAGACATTATTTTAAAATACATTGTTTGTTTTATGTTAAAAATATAAATATCTTTCAGAAAATTAAATAGGGAAGAGAAAGATTTTCTTATAAATTTTTCCTTAAAATTTGTTCCAGGATTAAGACATTTATCCCTTTTATGAAAAAAATAAATGCTTTTAATTAAACACTTTTTCCACAAATTCATGTGATAAAAGATCACACAATACATTTCATATAATAATCTGGAATAACATTTGGTGCAGGATTAACATTTTGATTTGAGCTTCCATTGAGCTTCTAAAATTCCGAATATGTTAAACTGATTTTCCAAGACTTTTGATGACAAGGATTAATCAACCAATAAGGAAGAGCATGATCTGTTGTAGATTTCAGACAGTAACGGAATCAATTTGACAAAACAAACGTTTTGAACATTTGAATGACCACTAAAAAAAAACTACCACTGGTTAAATCATTAACAAGATTTTATAATATATTTCACTTTTAACAAAGCAGATATACTTGCTTAATTTTCCAAGGGGGAAAATGAAGAACAGTCTCATCCAAAGAGTAAAATGTTATTATTTTCTTATAATTGTGTGGTTTGTGATCTTTGAGAAAAACCCAAAATTATTCAACAAGAATTAAGGCACAAAATTTTTTCTCTTTTTGCTACAATAATATTAAAAAGCAATCATCTCTGACTATTGAATTCACATTCATTTTGAGTCATGGAGTTGCTCCCTCATTAACAAACTACACATCATCTTTCATTCATAAAAATCTTCTCCAACAACAATTTTGTTGCAAGCTAGACAGGAACTGGGAAAGGTAACGAAAACGATTTATCATAAATTTCTACAAGAAACAGGAAATGACAAACATCTGGTTATATTATTACTTAACACATGCATGTAGTATGTTGTTTTAAAAAGACTTTATGTTGACCTCTATATGTCTTTTGGTAATCTGTATACAATTGTTGGGTTGCTGTCTCAAAGACCTATACACAACATCTCCCTCTCTTTTTACAAAATCTTCACAATAATGATAACATTTTTAACACAAATCTAAACAAAACATTCGATGGTGACAACCATAACTGAATTAATTCTTTTATTGTCCTTTTTGGGGCTCTCAAGAAATTTTAACTTCCGTACTATTTTCTTTAAGAATTTTGATTGATAAAATTTTTTTTGCTAAACTTTACTTATCAATTCAAATATTTAATTTCTATCTGTAAATATTGTTGAACTTGTGTCTAATCCATGGTCATTTATTTGGATTTTGACAATAAATTATGATTAAAGTATAAAAAATAAATGTGGATTGTGTCAACGTGTATAGTTATAAACAGACATAACTGAAGAATTGTAAAAGTGACGCTACCCAAATTGGAACTTGATCTGAGTTTTATGGTAATAAGCATTGTGTGTAAGTCTCATAATATTTGGTTGAGGCAAACTTAATTTAGAGAATGAAAACGAAAAATTTTGTAATTTTTCCATTTATAAAGGGGCATTACTCTAGAACGGTTTGAGTGACGCAACCAATATTCAATCTTGATCTGTATTTTGTGGTAATAAGCATTGTGTATAAGTTTCACAACATTTGGTTGAGGCAAACTTAAGTTATAGAACGGAAACTAAAAATTCAGCAATTTTTCCATTATAAAGGGCATAACTCAAGTACCATTTAAGTGACGCCACCAAAATTCAAACTTGATCTGTGTTTTGTGGTAATAAGCATTGTGTATAAGTTTCATAACTATTGGTTGAGGTAAACTTAAGTTAGAGAACCGAAACTAAAAATTTTTCAATTTTTCCATTTATAAAGGGACATTACACTAGAACGGTTAAAATGACACCACCAAAATTCAAACTTGATCTGTGGTTTGTGGTAATAAGCATTGTGTATAAGT